GACAATGTAACGGAGAAATCTTAAATTGTTTTAAACATAATCGAAAAATTGCATATAATCAAGCAATTCACACCTTGACTGTTCCAAGCATGTATAACATAAGTCTTAACATCTATTTCACTGTCATGGCGTGCAGATGTTGCTACAAAAATAAATGAATATCCTAAAAAAATTGAGCATGCACAAAAACATCATGCATATAAATGGTAAAGTCGATCTCACAAAATTGCTTGAGTGAGTATCGATCTTCCACTTGCCCAGACTTGCGGACTCACGGAGGGGTTACTCCTATCCGTGCCTTTTTGTATAACCTTGTGCTCACCTTGTGTACCCGTCGGTTGGGCTGGCTTGAGCTCTTCGTAAAGGCCTTGGGAGATATCGATCCCGCTGAGGGTTTGGGGTTGAGAGTTCGCTTCCGGTGCGGTAATCTTTACACCACGAACTGTATATCTGCGATCTTGATATTAGGTCGCGACGATCCCTACGTGGAAAAGTCGAGATCTTGATCTTGGACCACACCGATATCGATTTGTCATCGGGATCGAAGTCTCAACTGTGTGAAAATCTTTACTCAGCAAATAGTTGTCTTGCGTCGATCTTGCGTTGGGATCGGTTCAATCGGTCGATCTTGCCGGAAGTGCACAATTTGGGCCGACAGGTTTCTTGATTCGCCAAAATGAAACGTGTCGGTCTGCCTTGTAGATCGCTTTGTTCTTGCTCGGTCTTGTCTTGAACTCCTGGCCTAGATCTTCATAGTACTTGAGCCGTCTAGCGATCTTGTAATCAAAATCATTTTCCTTGTGGCTGCTACCCGAGCAGTTGAGTTGAGTGTGAGTACTTGATCGATCCGGGCCAAACTTCCCGAGATCGCTCATCCCGATCTTGGCCAACAAGCCAAAATCGGTCTTCAATGTCCTTGTAGCACGCGTGCCTCAAACCGTCGGGGAAGCCAAAGAGTTCTTGCCCGTAAGAGAAGGGGGAACGCGCGTCGTGAGCAGAAGAAGTAGAGTTCAAGTCTGTTTATTAACCAACCAAATTACTAGCCAACCTATCTTTAGGCCTACTCCTAACCGTAGGTCGCTCTCCAAATCATAACCACCGTTAAGCTTGACCGCCCGCTTGAACACGTGTCGATATTTCGTGACCTGTCCTCCAAAGATAGCACCGATATCCCCGATATCGTACCTAAACACCAAAAGAAGACCAAATCCCAAATATGGTACCAAATCCCCATTTTGGTACCGGAGACCACTAAAAAGTGCTCCAATACCAAATGTGTCTAAACCCATTTGCGACCTTAATTCAACCGACTTCCACTGGCTCTTTCGGTCTGAACTTTTAAGACATCACTCAGGACCTCCAACAAGCATATCAATCATGATCCAATAGCTCCATTAGCGATTTATCCATAATCAGTGGGGAACATGACCGATCTGCTGCCCAATTCGAGATAATTGAGGATCGAAACAGTTTAATTCAACAGTAGACATTTTCCCGTTCATCGTGTGTGCTCCAATACCATCCTTTAAGGCTTATTTGATAAGTGGGACCATCCACGCGTCTTATATTAGCTTCCTGGACTTTTATAAGTGTTCACACTTCCATATCGGGCTGTAATTAACCAACATCAAAACTCCCGTTGCGGGACCGGTAGAGAGTATAATCGATCGACAAGATGTTACACCTTTGTCCTTCAAGCGGATCGTTTGACTTCACCCCTTCCTGTGTCCGAGATCGCACCATGGAAATCGTCTATGCCTGCGACCCGTCCCAAATTGTTCCCTGTAAATCATTCCTTTTAAAGCTTCGTCTAAGATCGTTCCACATCCATCATTTTGTCGACAGTAGGGTCGGTTCGTTAATCTCCGTGGGATCACCATCCATCTACTATTGGATCGATAGATCGTTGGGTGTCAGTTTCCACCAGTAAGTGGCATCTCAATTGGGTGGTCACCGATCCACGTCCCAAAATTTGATTAGTGACTTTGCCACATATACATATTTTGACTATCCTGAGCATTTATAGCTTAGGTCTCAGTCTCTGCTTCAATTTTACGGCTTGCGACGATTGCTTGATAATGTCAAGAAAAATGAATAAATTTTAGGCAGAAAAGTGGTTTGTATCTACGTACTATTCGAAACATCTTGTCTTAACCACCACTCATCTGGAAAGTCGGAAGAAAGGTGATCTCGCCCTTTGAGATTATGTATCAAATGCGCGCCTAACTCTCATATCAGCCATTTTTACATACAATTTTCATAAATAGTTTAGTTCATGATCCTAATTTATCGAAAACCCTTTATGTTAAGCATTTTAATGCACTATCGACACTATGTATTTAAAATCTAAATATGTGTATAAATAGGGAATTGCTAAATACACACCCCTTTTCCTTAGATTCACACCCTTCCTTCAAAATCTTATATATAAAATACATATTCATGTTAAGATTTGTTATCTGACAAAGGCATTACTCATTAATCTAGGCCATTAATTGGCAAGTCATACTAAGTTAAACGCAAGTCTAGAAGACGTCGATTTTATGCATCTCGTACTTAACTTATGCTCATATGTTGAGGGTAGCAAACTGATAGGCTGTCCGTGAAGCATGTTCAAATGTCTGTAAGCAGTCAAGGGGGGGACGAAACAAAGCGTGCTGTACTCTAATCCGAGCCGAGGCTCTTACGGATCTGCTCCGTCACCTTATGCATTTCCGTGTGAGCATTTACTTCCACCAGTTTGCCTTGCTCACGGTAAATGTCAATTACGGGCTGCGTCTGCTTGTAAAAAAATCCTCCGGACGCGAGCCGAGCGTGGCTTCATTTTCGTTCTTGCGCTGAATCAACGGATCGCCCGTAATGTCGTCCTTAACGTCCACATATGACGGAGAAAACTTTAATAATCAACATAGCATCCACCGAGGTGTTTTCCTTCGTCAACATCTCGTCGAGCTACTCAGCACCACATACAAAAAGAGGGAATTTTGGTCAGCCGCTGCGTTGCAACCTGGACACTCGTCTGTATCTTCTCTTGCTCTCACCGTTTTGGCCTGCACGACCGTTCGTGGAAAGTCGTCAATAATAAAGCCACGACGGTATTCCGAACTCTTGATGGCTTCCTTAACTATTACAGACGACAATCTCGTCGGTCACAAGTGCGCCCGAGTCCATCGCGGCTTTGACCTATTTGCCTATGTCGGTGCCAGCAGCAACAACAGCGCGCAAGATGTCGCCCGTAGCCAAGTGGCAGAATAATTACTCGTTTTTGTCCAGCGGCGATTGCATACCTTGTTTATATAAGATTTTGAAGGAAGGGTGTGAATCTAAGGAAAAGGGGTGTGAATTTAGTAATTCCCTATATACATGTGTATTTTTGAACGCACTACTAACAACCTTTATATCGCCATAATTCAACAAAGCACAATAAATACAAATAACGAAATTTAAAAAATTACAAAGAGGCATAAAAAATTATAATGTGGATGCCTTGTATGAGTTATTGAATATTGAATACATGCGAGCTCTCTTAATTTACATCATTCATTAATCATCGCTTGCGTATCAGACGTTCGTCTTATCGTCAACCCCACAGGACTATATACGTATCAGTAGCTGGTAATGTGGTGGAGTAGTGATCGCTCATTTCTTGAGACGATCCCGACTCTCCACTATCGCCCAGAGGACCGACTTACGGAGGGGGTACTCAGATTCCATGTATATTGCTTTTCTCACCTTGTGTACCCGTCGGTAGGGCAGGTTGCACTCTTCCAGGTGGACTCGTGTCGAGGAAAAACTTGACCGTGTTGGAGATGGGTTTGTGTAATCGGGCGGAAATCTTCGCGCGATCACTGGAGTATCGGTGGGGTAATGATATAAGTTCCCCGGTTTTAACGAGATCGCCTTGCCCACTGTGTGAGTTCTTGATACGCGAGCCTTCTGACCGCTTGAGCCGTCTCGCGATCTTGTGACTTGCCTTTACGTGTCTTGCTGCGTCCGATTGCAGTTGAATTTACCTAAATATTCTTGAACGCACCTGGCCAAACAATCCAGGTGCGACACTTGTATGAACGGGTAACGCGACTCTTTATTCGTCGGGAGGCCAAAGATCCTGCCCGGAAGAGGTTGCGTGCGTCTTATAAAGTAAATCGAAATATCTTTAATGCTAACCAATCACCCTAAAAACTACCCCTGTACCTAATTTGTATATTCTAACTGAATGCCACGCGTCCCTGTTTCAGGAAGACCGTCCTCTCTTATTGGTGTGGCCCACATCAGATGTATCGGCAGTCAAATCTTCTTGTAATTCAACCGAGATATCACCACCACTTTACCTCGGATCGTGATCCTAGTTCCGGATCATGATCCTAGGCCAGGATCGTGATCCCTAGGTGAGGGATCACGAATCTTCCCTTGCCCTGTCTCACGATTAATCACGCAATCCAACTGGTCCCCCTGTCACCTAGCCTTGTCCCAAGTGACATCGATCCTGCTTGCTGGGGTTAGGTGCGATTTCGCTAGCCACCCGTCCCAGTTTGTGTCCACCAATTATAACGCTTTGGACCGAGCTGAGGTGTGCGATCCGTCCGATCCTCTACTACACCTGAACGGTAAACTTCCTTGTGGCTGCTTTGCCACAACCGTCCTCTGCACCGTTAGTCAACATACGGTGTTGATCTGGCTGTTTAACCTTTGTGAATTGTCCCAGCAGTCTTCATTTTCACGTCTGCCATGTCGATGGACGATTGCGTCTACTTACATCCTTTTTCTTCGCTGACCTCGAATTCGAGGTCATTTGGATCACCTTCTCCGATACTCACTCCGGACGTGGCCCCGGTCGGCGAAATAGCAGCTTAACCTCGGACCTGAGTGATCCTGTCTTGCTTTAGATTAGCCGAATCAAACCGTCGATCTCGGTCGATCAAGCGACGCTGGACGCCGCGATAGACTCGATCTTCCATCATCTGGACCTTCAGCAAGCTGTCGTGGAGTGAAACCAGAGTATGGGGTCTGCCTTGGCGCAGCAGATGGCCCAGAAGTGTCAACTGCTGGAGGATCTCCATGAGCTTCGTACTTCGGCGTCTCATTTTGTGGAGTTCGTACAATCCAAGTACGGTCGCATGCGAGTCCGATACGAAGAGGTGGTCAAGAGGTCTGACGCCTTCCGGGAGGCGTTAGTCGACCGGGTATATCAGACTGCTGTGATCGCGCATTTGAAATAAGAGATTCTCCGTAATGTGCGGGCACGCATGCCGCACAGGAAAAATCCGATCGCGAGATTGACGGGATCCGCAAGCAGATGGATGACGCGGGGGATCGGTTGGTAGCGGAATGCGATCGGCTGTCCGATAGCCTTCGCAAGGCCCAAGAGCCGTAAATCGCAGTATAAGAAGAGCTGCTTTTACGTCCAAGAGAAGCTGAGTCGGGCGCCTAAGCAGGTGGCGGGGCTCCAGGTCGAATTGGGCGAGGCGCGAGACTCTTTATCTGCCCGATCTGCTGAATGTGATCAGTTTCAGCGCACTGTTCAAGATTACGTAGCCCTTCGGAATCGCATGGCCTCGCTGGTGGCCGGGGGATACTTCCGTTGCGCCTGCGACGATAGGGTCATCTAACCCTCTCGCGAAGCCCCAAACGGCATCAGGAGCCTCCAGATCCAGCGGCAAGCGACCTCGCGATATTACACCATCCGCCGCCTTGCCGCTATTTATAAAAGCGAGCATATATGCGACGTCGAAATCCAAGCCATCCCCGTGCCTCGATCCTAAGGGTGTTCGCACTTCTAAGTATTCTTCTGCCCTCAAAGGTACTCGCATTCCCAAGGGTTCCGCTACGCAGGATTCTTCTGCTACCCAAGTCGCTCGCTATCAGGGGGAATCTCATGATTCGAAGGGATCTCGCGATCCGAAGGGCTATTGCGATCTGAAGGGATCTCGAGATCCGAAAGGTTCTTGCGGATATGGCGGCGTGCTGCTACCCGGAAATTAAGCATGCAGAGACGTCGTGGTCTAGTCTTATCGTCATCTGAGGAAGAGAAAACATTGGCAAGCGAGGATGCAACGCTGGAGGCTCTGTCGGGATCTTGGTCTTCGACACGTCGTCGAGCGTCTGTTCCGACATCTCCCTTCTCGGCTAGGCCTTCCTAATCTCCCATTGTCGTAGAAAGCCTAGTCCTCCGCGCGGTTTACCGTCTCCGACTGGCCCTACTCGCGCCTCTGTGCCCAAAGTGTCCCGCGTGGATCTCTTCGGGGAGGCTTCGAGTAATTTGGACGATGCGATCAGCCTCGACTATGCGCCTCGTGCGTCGGTAAACTAATTATTATCTCTTGCGAAGAGCGGTGGTCTGCTTCCCACTAGAATCTCTCATGACCAGTGGATTCCTGGATACGGAGATCATGTACCATGGCCTTCGGCTCAAGTTTCTTCTTGGTCAGCGCGCAGCGTCAGCTGGACGAGTGTCGCGGAGTTAGACGCTGATTTCTTGTATCGTCACTTCTCCTGTCCTAAAAAGAACATCTTCCCAACGGCACTTGTGCCCAAGAATCCTCCTCTCACATCCGAGTGGACACCTCGGCTGACGTGTTCGGACCAGAATACGGCCTAAAACGCCCAAGAGCCTTAAAAAGACTACTTCACGCCGGATCGCACCGATCTCTTTTCCTCGTACCGGGTGGTTCGACCAACTCGCTTTCCTGTATTTGAAATTCGAGGATCGAAACCGACAGGCGTTGTGGGCTCAACGTATGCAATCTTCCTCTCCGGCGAACAGAGGGCCAGCGATCCTGAGCTGGATACAATCTGGAAACAGCCGAAACAACGTCGATCGCGAGCTGGGCTCTGATAAAACACGATCCTTTGATTCATCTTGCAGGGTATGATCGTAGGTCACTGCGATCTGGACATTCTGTTTGACCCATTCTTTCTGCACTTCTCCTCCCACCTGGAGGTGACTCCATGGTATCCCGGATTGGGATGTAAACAGAAAAACTTTCCCAACTTGATGTCGGCTCTACCGCAGCTAAGTGTAGCTGAGCCTTGGCGTATCCAGTTTCGATCCTCTATCGCTGACAACCCCGGATCATCGATCGCACATCTGCCTGGAAAGTTATTCCCGCGTGATCGCTCGGGTTCGAGTCACATAGTTTCATAATTATAATAAGTGTCCTTCGATCCTTCATCTTATTCTTCATCTTAAAAAGTAACTTCTTTTCTTCGGCTTGTCGGCCGCGATCGGACCCTTTTCGGTCCGCTATCGCCACATACTTCACATATATCCCCAATTTTACAATCTCATGCAACTTCCTTGCACGTCTACCCATCCACCCGCATCCGCTGCCTCCCAGCACATCTTTCATCCTCATCCATCGGCCTATGCTGCCTTCCAGCATATCTACCCAGACAATTGAGGGTCGTCCGATCCGTCCTCGTGTGACTGCATCACTTCGAAACGGTTTCGACTCGCTCGGTTTCGCTCAAACTATTGAAAAATAGCCCCACAGCTTAGACCGGCCTCACCCACCCAACTCAGATCGGGATAACCTTTTCATTTCACCAAGAACTGTCGATGTAATCGCCCATAACGAATTTTACGACCGGATCGCACGTCCATTGTTCCTCCAATTTATAATCTCCCTCTTCAAGATCGCCTACCCAACTGTCTTCTGGGAGCAGAACTTCGTCAAAATCTAAGCGATCTGCTTCGTTCTTCGTAAGCTGGTCTTTCGGCCGCTCGGGGAACATCTTTACTCTCTTCAGATTTGACAGATGTAAAATCGGGAATAGTCGATATGGAGCTCATGCGATATCCAGTCTCACAGCGTGATCTCCACATTTATCCGCAACTCGAAACGGACCAATCCACATATGTGCCAGCTTCTTCGCATATCCTTTTTTGGCTCGGTCTAAGTATAGCCAAACTTGTGTACCCACTTCGATCTCGTGTGGTCCAAGATCTTCGTTATGTTGATCCGCTATTTCTTGGATTGCAGCTCGTAATCTATCATTCACCACAGCTTGAGCTCGCTGATCTTGTCTTTAAATTCGATATCTCCATCTCTTTGGATCGCGATATCGGGTTCTTGTATTCCCTACTGATAATGTAGCCTCCAACGTAGATCAAGGATCTCACCCATGGATCAAATAGAATGAAGTATCCCCCCGGATCCGAACTTTTGTGCGGTGTTAATCGCAAACGTGGGCCGTTTAGCATAATCATCCCGGTCCTGTTGGTGGACATCAGCGGCATGTATCTTGAGCGACCTCGTCAGATTTTGTGCTATCCGTTAGGCCGTTCCATTTGCCTGTGGCCTATATGCCATTGTAGCACGTTGTCTCGGACCCACGATCCGACTGAAAGCTCGGAAAATTTCGGGCATAAATCACGGTTCTCGATCATGCCTGATCGCATTACTGGCGCCGAAACGCCGGAATACACATTCATCGTAATTTTTCTGCAATCGTTTTTGCCGTTCGTGACAAGCTAGCATTCGCGATCACATATCCTGAGAAGAAATCCACTAAAACCAGCAACTCCGTATTTCGTATGAAGAAATTTGGCAACGATGGTATATGATCCATTGCAATAACCTTGAATGGATGAGTTGCTTGTAAATTACCTGGCGATCTCCCCTGAATTGTCGGACATTTTTTTCCCGTTTCGCAACTGGTGCATTCGCCCTACATATAGTTGCACACCCCGGTACAACTGTGGTGAAGTGGTCAAAGGAAATCCTGACTAATCGCCTTGATCACCTCCTAAGTGCAGTGTGGGACCGGTCATGCCGGTCTTGGGACTGACCGCTACAGAAATTCCCCAACGATAAGCTGGACGGTTTGCAAGTCGTCAGTGGCGGTCACAGATTGTGACCACCGGTTAGAGTCACGACGAATTACTGACCGGTCATGGTCCATATGGGCGACCAGTGGTCATAGTCATGATGGGTGACCAGTTATTATGGTCAAGATGAGTGACCAGTGGTCATGGTCACGATGGGTGACCGGTGGTCATGGTCACGATGGGTGACCAGTGGTCACGGTCACTGCAAGATGACCAGCGGTCATGTTGGCAGTTATGGTGGTTTACTTCAAGCACAGGTAATGGGTGGTGGTAGGCGAACAACGTAGCAGAAAACTGAGATAAAGAGAAGTGTAAATGTAGTTCTAGCCCCTAGTAGGTTAATAACGACTAGTATTGATTTTCCTACAAAAGACACGCGTCAGCATTCCTCTGGGCTAGAATACTAGTGGCCATCCCACGTACAAGGTTTAATGTCTACGTCTTTGCTCAAGGTTTGTCCCTAGATTGCTTGGCTAGGGGACAAGTTTACTCATTCAAGTTAGCCCGCCATCGGACGCGGCAAGCATACAAGGCAAGGTCTTCAGACGGCTCGAGTGATCAGAAGGACAAGGTGATCAAGTGGTCAGAAGAACAAGGGGAATCAAGTATCCACATTTGGGCAAGGCGACCTCAAGGAAGGTCAGGCAACTCTAGGAGAGTGCCACCAGTAACCGTTCGTCGTGTGAAAAATTACCACGCGACCACACCCTACCTATCCTCAACTCGGTCAAGACAAGACATCGACCTCAAGACACCTAGAAGAGTGCGACCGCCCGCCAACAGGTACACAAGGTGAAAAGGAACAAGACAAACAAGACACACGGTCCGGAGTATCCCCTCCGTTAGTCGGTTGTCCGGGCGCAAGTGGGGGAGTCAGGATCGCTACGTAAATGAGCGAATCTCACTCCACCACAACGGTGCGCGTGCCCGGATCTTCTGGTGCCTCGGGATTTCCCCGTGAATCCCAGAGCGAAGATGTCAAGGTCAAGATTGAACCGGGGATGGAAGTGTCGGCGAAGAATAGATCGTCGCAGACACGTGATTAAAAAGGTCCCTCGCTTCGGCAAAGTTTTGGGAGGGGCTCGAACGAATCAAAATTCAAAGAGGAAGCTCGCCAAAATGATCTCGAAGAAAAAAACCTCTCTTCCCTCCTGAGGTCCCCTTCGGGGACCACCGCGGATCGTACTGCAAAGTACAACCCGCTAGATGGAACACGTCCAGCCAAAGCAGGACACGTTTCGTCTAAAAACAATACCAAGCACAAAGGAAAGGAAAAAAAATCGAAGGCTACGGCTCTTAAGATACGCGCGCCTGACTCCAAGGGTGATGATCAATAAATAAGCAGGGCAGCAGAGGTCAAGATGGAAGGTTGTAAGATCGATCAGCTGC